TGAGTTTCAAACTCGTGGGTTAATTCCCTTCCTACAGGTTGATTTGTTTTTCTTGGGCGTGGACTATGGTAGATGAAGATGCAACGTGCTATGGAGAAGCTGGTGGCTTAATGTTTTTATTCGATTATGAAACATTTATGTTTTTAATAAATAAATTTCTATGAACATCATATGTGGAACTATTCTAAAAATATTTTTATGAATAAGTTATGTTTGAAAGTAGTTATGAGTTATAGAAATTAACTTACAAGTTATCATTTATCACAAAATGTTAGCGATAAGATTTAGTGTTGCTATTTTTATTAAAATTTAAACTTCTGCCCTTGACTTCAAAAATTCATAACTCAATCATTATTTGGAATTTTTAAACGAAACCAATGAGGTTTGATAGCCTCATGGATTATCTACTACATAAATTTGAAATTATGTCAATTCGATATTTGTAGAATTTTATATGTCACTTTAAGTAAACAGCGCTGGTTATCTTCCAAACCAAATCACCGCAGAGTTTTGAAAAATATTTTAGTACCTCATATGTTATCAACGGAAGTCGATTTTTGGATATGTCGTAGTACAAGATGTTTCCTACCTTCTCTTAAAATTTTGTGAAGTTTAGAGATTGAAAACTATGTCAACAAATTTATTTTGACATTTTCCGCTTGAGAAGGAAAAGCAAAACAACATATTTTTTTTTACTGCTTAAAGTGTTCACGTCAATAATGGGTACATGCATGGAAATCATTCTAAAGACTCTTTTTTTTTTTTTTAAATTGTTTCTTTTAGTATTAATTTTTTATGTTTTGTTAAAAAATAATATGTGTGTGTGTGTGTGTAAATCTTTATGCATTCCGTGGAAAATATAGTTTATCTTAAAGTGTTCACGTCAATAATCGGTACATGCATGGAAATCATTCTAAAGACTCGTTTTTTTTTTAATTGTTTCTTTTAGTATTAATTTTTTATGTTTTGTTAAAAATAATATATATATATATATGTGTGTGTGTGTGTGTGTGTGTGTGTAAATCTTTATGCATTCCGTGAAAAATATAGTTTATTAAACTAAATTGTTATATTAATTTTAAGTCTATGACTAAAGTACAATTGTTCTAGTAACTTTTCGGTTCATGCGGACATCAACGGTCCAAAAGAAGGTAAATATTTGGTCGAATTACATGTACACATGTGGTAATAAATATATGACAATTTTAAAGTTTATTTTATGTGAAAAATAAATTGGTCCAAAGATATATTTATTGTTTAACATGGTTTATTGTCAATATTTAATTACTAAACAAATAGTATCACTTACAAGTTGATATTTTTGTCCAAAGAATAAATTTCAATGTTGTGTTTGGTCTCTTGACATGCAGGGTCCGGACAAAGTGATGAACTTCTAGACATCCTACAGATGTCTAGATCACGCAATTGTCACTTTTTTTTATTGTTCCAATGTCTGGTACACAATGACTAGTCGTTTGTACGTCTAGACGAAGAAGAAGATGCCTGGTTGACTGTTCGATTCTACATATACTTTTGCTTATTGATCTCTCTAAATACGTTCACTTTTGCATTCATTGCAAGATTTTTTGATAGCATTAAAGTGAGATATTCTTGAGTAAAATCACATTGATCCTATCTTATTTATCATCATATTATTTATTGTGAAAACATTTTGATTGAGAAAATCAAATCCTCTATTCATCTTCATCATCGAGTTTTCTCATCTAACACTTGAGCTTTCATTTATTACTATTCATTGAAATGTTAGCCTATCCATCTCTCTTAGTACTAAGTTTGTCTATATCAATTATTGAGAGAGAAGTTTTCAAATTGTAAAATTATTTTTTCCTTCAAACTTGTAGGTCATATTGAGGTCCCGAATATCTCAATATTGTAAAATGATCGGTGTTCCTATGTGTAAGTAACTGGAAAACAAATATTAAAATATATAATTTTTGAACAACTAAATTATAGTTAAGACTTAAGTATGTGTCAACCTAGTTGGGATATACTTAAACTATAAATTATAATAAATAAAAGTAGGTGCCAACCTAGTTGGGATGTACTTATACTATAAATATTTGATAATGGTAATTAGAAATGCATTTAGTGGTGATTTGTTTAAATTAAATTTAACTTTA